GGTACATCAGTTGGAACTGGACCCCATTTATCTTGTATCGGTTTTGACCACGACAACTGCTTGTCAGCTGGCAGTGACAGCCTCAGTCATCTCGAAATCAATCTTCGAGCCTCGCCGCCTAATCTGTCTGTTTGCTTTCAATGTGCGCATTCTGAAGCGAGCGCAATAACAATATACTCTTGCTCTCACACTGGACTCGCTTGACATTGTTGTGTGTTGTGTGCCAGGAAGAAGGATTTTGGGTGCAAGCACAGCGGTTGTACTAACTACCCCATCACTCTTTACTTGCTTCCGGCCATCCAGAGACTGCCGCGACAGGATATCCAGGGGGTCATTGCCATCTTTTCGGATAGAGACGTCAGGACTGGGCGCATAAGTGGCTAGAGACATTCACAAACATGGCCCACCGTCATTCGTATATTTATGCATCAATCATATTGGCTACTGCCTCCAATGCGTTTTTAATCTGCCCCACTTCCCTACGTTATTGGTGAACAACACTGTGGCGGCTATAGCCTTTGTACGGCAAGTGCGCTTTTTCCAGCTGCTACTGATAGATGGAAAGGTACACGCATGTTACTAACCTAGTCGGAGATTGGGACACCCATTTTGGAAAAACAAGGATGGGAACCATCTAGGCGCAAGAGTAGGTTTGAATGTTCCCAGAATCGATAGCTGCTGTACGCAGTCAGATCATTCTTTGTTCAGTGCCTCTCTTGCCGCCCTCTTACCTCTCTTGCCCAGTGATCAATGAGAAAACCGTTGACCTATATGTTATTCAGACGTGGCCATCAGAGAAGTTTGCTATCGACATCTCACTCACGACACCACTCACAAGCACGAAACAAACCGGTCAATCGAATAAAGTGTAGTTGAAAACTCAAAATGCCATGCTTTTGGCCTTATATGCGTCCCGAAACAAAGCCATGGCCCAGTTCAAGTCTGATTTCACGGCGATCCGTGTCCCTGATGGAGGAAAGGACAGTCCTACCGGGCCAGCACTACGACTTCCCGTGATTTCTGAAACGTTGGTTGATCCGCAATCTTATTCCGATCGGGGGAATCATTGGCTGAGGTAAACCCAAGACAGCAATTGGAAATAGTTGAACTCATTTACAACATACCTACACTACAGAGTCAAGTAAACCACTTATTGGTAAAGGTATTACAGGATGGACAGCTCGAAATCCCGTTTCAAATGCCACCATCTGTCTGTGTGATGGAACAGTTTACGAAGCACGGTTAGGCTGGTCTGAGGTGCCCAGCACACCGCCAGATTCCTACTGTGATGAGAACTGCTCAATCCCAACAGACGGCGAAGTCAAAAACCGAAGTGAACACTTTTTGGGAAACGGCAGCCGGTCCTGACCGTTTTTCTTAGGCCTTGTTTAGGAGTGGTGGGGCAGGAATCTTTCACTAAAAAACTTCATGCAAATCGTTTTAAAAGCGAGTAAATAGATAGGAACGACAGCTACTCACAGCCGTTTCCGACCTTAAATGCTGTCAGATCTGTGTGTGAATCACTGGGGTGTCAGTCACCATTGCTTCCAGATTGCTTGCTATTGCTGTCCACTGGCGAAGGACAGAGTCGTGAAGACGAAATAGAGTTTCCTTCGGACCGTGAATGCACTGATTGTGTCGTTAAACTTCAGCAACTTCCCGAATACCACACAAATTATTAACAGTTCTCGTCTACATCTAAACTCAATTTTTGACTCAGTCGCCCGCACTGCTTTTTGGCGATATCCCCGAACATTTTCGCCACATCCAATCCTCCCAGTTCAACACCCGTGGGTGCCTGAGTCTGTGGAGAGTATTCTTCTGAGTTCACGAAAGAACTTTCGCCACAATGGTTTATGCCACCTCTTTCGAAGTCGTAATCGAATTAATTATCCAAGAAACGTTTGCTATATCTTTTGGTCCGAAGCTCCGTCCTGGAAACCCTAAAGACCTGGAGTATTCTCACGGCATTTTGCTGCTTGATTCAGATCCTGTCAAGATACAAACACGAAACGACGTAAATATTACCATAGGCGCCTTAAGAGTTCAATACAGTGCTAATACATGATTGGTCGAGTGCACCGCCAAAGCTGGTCATGGCACAAGATTCATCCATCTCGTTTGTTGAACCGTGTGCTCCATGTGCCAAGTGATCGACTATCATGCCATGCCGTACTTGCTGCTTCAGGTTCTGACAAGCAGATACCTCAAGAACAACGGATAGCCTTTAGATTGAGCGTAAAAAACATGACAAAGGATCTTGTCTACACTGGTGCACCTCTTCTGGGAGGTTGGAATATTAGAGACCTGCCGCGTCAATAGTCTGAGGTAGTTTTCACCATGGCAGTGTCAGCGGCTGTTTTGTATCTATTCTCTGAATCTTAATTTGCTCACGGTCTTTTTCATTGTATTCTCCTTAACCCCCTATCCTACACTGTCTGTTGCCACATTCTACGGCGATCTGGAACACCACACACACGCACTGTTTACAGTCGTCAAACTGAGCCGCACGGGACTATCTGATCATCAGCGTCCTAAAGGCCGCAACGGATCGCCGAGTTGAAACTGGCAACGTCAGATCATTCACAGAATGTATCTGGCAAGCTGCGGTGGGTGGGTCGTGTGTTGCGCATGTCGAGTTATTCTCCATTGGGGAGAGCTTTGAGTGGTTTATCTATTTCAAATGGGTGACATATGACGACAGAAGGACAATGAGATATCACGAAAGTTTTGCTGTTTTGTCAGTCCATGATGGTATATCTACGATTCTCCCTGTTTGGTTCAAGACGCTGCTGGATATGGTCGAGCTGTCAGTATTCATCCAAATAATGTAAATGGGCTTTTGAAAGTGCAGGTGTCTGTTGTATGTTATCATCAATTTCCCTCTTCCATCACGAAGAGCTTCGTGGTGTGACAGTTTGTATAAATTCGCGACCCACTGATCGATACCGGGTGTCCGCGCGACACTCGCAGTCTCTCTTACCAGGTTCGTCAATGTCTGTCAAGGTCTGACGGACACAGTCCCCTGGTCCTCCAGGTTGGGGTTTTGTACGTATTTGGCCAATTGTTGCGTGAAAATTGAAGTGCCTCTGCATTTCCCACCAAACACCACTGCCTTTCATTCAAGCTTTTCAGCCAGAGGCTTTCTCTGAGGACCGTAATTATCCCATCTAGATGTGGTTGCTGTGGCAGTATCCCAGTCCACATACAACCGTGAGTTGCACACATGCCACATCGGCCATCGCGTGGTGCCACATGCCGGATCGCCTTACTTGCTGCATACAGCGGGGCTGGTAACGCTGACGCCACCCTTACTTCTCTTTCACATAGTTTTTCTTCCCTTTCTCCTCACCCCATTAATAAATCTCCTTGTAGGCCCAGCAGTTAGAACTGATGACTTCGTTCGTCCTGCAAGTAACATCTGCGCGTCATCCGGCGCCGACATCCGCAGATATCTTGATATCAATCTTCAGTCCTCTCCACCCAGTCTATCTATCAATATCCGCACTCTGAAGCGGGCGGGACAACAAGCTGTCCTAGCTCTCACACTGGATTTGTGCGGCACTGATGTGGGCTGTGTATCAGAAACGAGAATCAAGATGCAAGCACAATTGTTCAGCTGACTGCTTCATTACTGCACTTGCTTCCGACTGCGCACCCCTGGTGATCCAGAGGCTGCTGCGGCAGGATGTGCAGAGTTGAAAGAAATGTGAAATCGTCCAGCTGTAACATGGTGCCTAGCTGCCATGCCACACGAAGGAAGCACGAGGGCTGGAATACTGCCAGGTTACTCAAACGTAGACATGGACGTCGAAAAGCAGATGTCGGGTTTGAACCGCGGAGTTCGCGGGCAGTGAATCAACGCTCTATCCACTGAGCTATCACACATGGGTTGGTATCGTCCTAATTCACTGGACGGAAGGATCCTTGCTGGACTGGATACCAGTTGATAGTCGCCTCCATGAGGTTCGTCTGGCAACGTTTATGAAGGGGGAAGTTGATCGATTTTCGTTTATCGTGTCTACTTACGCCCCAGTTGACTGTAGCTCTGACACCATGAAAGACAAGTTTTTCGACCACCATAATGCCCTCTTGTGGGGACCTAAAAGCGCAGATGTAATGGTGTTTGCCAGAGTGGACAAGCTTAGCGCATCTGGGGCTCAAAAACCCCGGTGGTCAAATAGTCTGTGAAGAAATCCTTATCGATCTGGAATATGCAGACGACATCGTTCTCATCTTCCGAGAGAAGGAGAAGGTACAGGTATTTTTGGACGAAATGACCAAAGTCATTCCGTCCTTTGGTATGCGCTTTGCGCCCACAAAGTGTAAGGTCATGCTCGTGGAAATGCAGTCACTTAGCACGCCACTTGCAGTCCAGGTAGAAGCACTGAAAGTTGAAGAGCGTTTTACGTATCTTGGAAGTTGTATTAGTTCTGATTGTAGTGTGACAGAAAAGGTCAATGCACAAATCTGCAAGGCCCGGGTCGCGTTCGCTAATTTGAAACACCTATGGCGTCAAAGTTGTGTATTCCTGAATCTCGATGGACTAGTGTATCGAGCTACAGTGCGGATCTTTTTACTGTATGGCTCTGAGACTTGGCTGTTCGAGCAGTGGAACCGAGACGTCTTCAGGTGTTCGACAATCGTTGTCTCAGACCCGTAGCTCGTGTGGGTTGGTGTCAGGGGATCTATAATAAGGCAGTTAGAAAGCACGTTTCCAGTTGTGTGACGGGTACTTCCATTGGAGAATGTGTCCAGCACCAGAAGCTGCGTTGGTTGGGACATGTGTTGCATATGCCGAACCATCGTTTGCCGAAAAGAGTGCTGTTTTCCATGCCCAATTCAGAGTGGCGTAAAAAGAGAGGTGGCCAACCCTTGACTTGGAAGAGGAGTATGAAGGAGATCACAAAACGCTTGGGTGCTGTCGGTGCTACTCGCCTTCCAGGATGGGGACCGCGTGATCCTCACTGTGCCTAGTTAGAGACTGCAAGATATGACTGCTAATCGATGCCAGTGGCGTTCTTGTTAGTTTCTTTCCAGATTGCCCGAGTGGGTGTCTGGAGGTGTATGCAACGCGCAGTGAATGTAGGAAGGTAGCACTGTGTCCCTTTCCTACCAACTTTCATTCTTTTCCCAATGAGGTTTTCACATAAATCATGGTTGTACGGAATCGAGGCAGCAGTGTTGAACACTTGTCACGTTGTCAATGATGATGATGGCGGTGGATTCCCCTTTCCGATTGTTTTTCTCATCCTATGAGTATGGCGAATTGGATCGTACGTCGTTCAGGCACCAGTGTTCTCTTACTAGTGTTGCTGTCTGTACTGATGAGAAGAGTCATTAGTCTGTCACTGCTATCCTACTAAGTTGCGTACTTGTTACTTTCCAGTTGCCAGGTGTGGAAGTTGGTGGGATCCAATGCCAAAGAAAGACCAGGACATTACTAAGGGGGGAATCCCTTCGGCCGATGTCGCTCTGAAAGACATAGTGACAGACCCACACAAACTGGTGACCCATGGGAAAGATAAAAAAGGATTTTGGCCACGTCAGATTTTTCGTCGGAAGAAGAATGTTCCCCTCGTATGTTCTCGTTTCGTTTTACATTCGTGCTGCGTTTACACGAACTGCACTTGTTCTCTTCAACACATTGCACACTTTCCTGCTGGTTCACACGTTACATTTAGCATCATAGTATAACACTGTCAAGCATGGTGATTAGTTTTTTGTGGGTAAATTCTTGGCCAGATAAGTATATTCTACTCATTCCTGGACAGAAACCGGTTTTCATTTACTTTTCAGTTTTTCGAAAAATATATGCAGTATCTTCCTGCATACCACGTCATCTGACGCCAGAATCTATTATGGTTGGAGTGTTATAGCCTTGTTAACTTCACTCACTGAAAATCGTAGTTTCGGAATAGTTGCGGCAAGAACCTAGACTGAACAAGTCGAGATGCCGAGGTTGTGTTCGAACCACGGATCTTCCGGTCAATAGCCGGAGCCACTTAACTCTCTTGGGCTCCATGTGTTGTCCAGGTGGTCGTCAAATGTTCTCCCCGTACTTTGTCTTCAAATTCTCAATTACTTGCCCCTCAGCGGCTGCAGCTCAGCCGTCGTATGCTTAGGGAGGAAGGACAGTTTTGTCAATAATGCTGTACACTATGACAGTCGACAACAAAATTTTCTTCCATCCCCAAGGGCTAGCCCGTCAATCGAGCATTGGAAGTCTTCCATTTTTGAGATTCAGGTCTACGTTTACTTTTAGGACGTCGTTATGGCTGTAACTTTCGCACCATAGTTTCATTTACCCACGTTTCGATACAGTCAACTTATTTCATCATGATTAAGTGTATCTCTGTTGTACCCTCTAAAATCCTAACTTTTAGCTGGACACGAATAGTCCTTTTTCGACTTCCCTCTGATCGATTTGCTTTCTTTTGCGCCAGTAGTTCGACGTGTTTACATCACTTCCAAAATGCAAGTTCAGGTCGTTTGTGGATGAGCTCGTTGTTGTTTTTGTCCGGGCTCGAAATTAAATCACTAAGTTCGTTGTTTACTCGCCTTCATCTCAGTGTTCTCAAAACTTGGGAGGAGTTAATCCTAAAAGTCCTGAAAATAGTGCCGGATCTCTTACTTCCAACAGAGTCAAGAAGAAATGTCACTCCTGAGAGAGTCCACTGAGGGCATCTCCTCCTGGATTCTGATGAGGCCCTCTGAATAGGCCGTTCCAAACCTGTAGGGAATTCGCGAGTTCGTGGAGGGTGACTTTACTTCTTAAGTAAGGCAAGTATTCTGATAATACTTGTGCAAACTAGAAAAGACGCATAACTCTGGACGACTTGGGTTATGAAGTTGTTCAAAACCTGGTTTACTTGAATAAGCGGTCTTCTCAGATTAGAAATTACAAAGATATTGTTTCTGCGTGACAATATTTGAATTTGGCCATCCCAATACCCGTTCTTTCGGTGGCTTGTTCGTCTTTCACGTATCAGTTTTGGTGTGTGGAGTATCTACCTCTGCTGGATAGAGGATTCAAGTTAGGTCTGGATAAATTTTCGGTGCGCGTATAGTTTGCGACTAGACAATCAAAGTCTTAGTGGTGTGCTTTTCCACGGATGCTGCGTGAAACACTTGTTTCAGCGCATGGTATCGTAATTGTGATCTTGGAACTATTTAAACCTACGATAGAGGCATGCTCTAAATTTGCGGCTAATCATGAAGGATTTCGCCGGCTTCAGTCACCAGAACATGCTATTTCCGGATTAGGACATCGATTTTAGTAAAACAGATTTCGAGTTGAATAAAGTCTGAAACGTTGTTTTGGAGATGTATACTGAACAAGTAAAATCTACAAAACTGTGGACAAAAGCTTCTCAGCTCATTGAATAACTGATAAGTTCAATTCCAAGTAACATCCATAATTTCAGTTGAAGGTCGGGGAGATTCAGTGTGAGTTGAACTGGGTTAATTTGAAGAAACCAGCTCATTTAAAGAAGACGGGCTAGTTTGTCGAACAAACGGTTCTGCTAGTTACCGCAATTTTTCATCTTCCATGTTTGGGTACACTGGTGTTGGATGAAATACACAACGCCTGATGTGAGTCCACTCCCCATATGCCAAAACGGTCCATTCCCTGTGATGGCTGCTCTTTGAGTAGACTGTTGTGGTGGCCCCAACAGCGTGTCCGTTAGCTGAACGGTAGGTGTCCTTTTGGTTGGATTCCTATGAAAACCACTCTGTGCTATCTCCTTAGCATCCTTGAGAGATTGACCTTTCCCCATCCATTTTTCTGAAAGTACGATTGTTCCAATTTATGGATTTGATCTTCATGTGCTCTTTTCTTTCTATTCTAAGTAAAATACCAAAGAGATTAGCCCCGTACTTTCGTTTTTCTTCCCTGCCCAAACAGCCTTCCATCGATATCCCGAAGATACAGGCTAATTTGATCACTGATCTGTCGGCCTTAGCCTCACAGCTGGTCGTCACCGTTACCGTTTCCGACCACACCAAGTGGGTTAATCGGATGACCGAATGCCTCAGCCTCGTTCGTCGTCACGTAGCCTCTGGCGCAGCTTGTATTCAACCGTTTCTCCTCACTGCAGGGAGTGCATCGGTTTCCACGAACTAGTAAGTTGCTCCATCCCAAACCTACCCAATTTCGTTTTCGTATATCCTCAGTGTTTGTGTTTTGGGCTTCCCGACGTTAATTACGATACCAGTAAACGTGTGTTCCACCTTGGTTTTAGCCGACCTGCAATGGAAAAGCTATCTGATTTTCACGATGCCTACGTGGCTTTCCTTGACTGGATCAACTCAGTCTCTTCTGTGGACAATCTGGCGCGAGTAACACCTGGATCCAACCTCATTGATGGTAGCACACGTTGCCGCGGACAGGCGTTGTTCAATACATTGCAGTTCTCAACCCTTGTACGTCAGTGTTTTATTATGGTTTGTCTAGTTTCTGAGGCTCAATCTCATCTTACATTAATTACCTTCTATGGGCTTACAGCATTACGAGCATCTTAAGCTTTGGCTAATAACCGATCTTCCAAGGATCGTTCATTTTAACCTTTGCTGAGAAGGTTGCTCATCCTTTATTGTGTTTTATCGGCAATCAGTATGATTCGTGGTTCCAATGAGGTCACCATAGAAGGTGTGTTTAGGGGCAAGATGGTGCGAAGATTCTCCACGGAGAAACCCCCTTCAGTCCAAATTTTTCCAGTATTGAATCGCCCTTAGCCACCACACTTCGCTCGAGGTGATTGGCCGGAAATGAACTCATACCATGAATTTATTTAGTAACCCAAGTTCCCAAATAGATCCGGTATTATCTCTAGCCAGACAGAATTGTCAACAAATTGATTCTTTCACTTTCCGTCCCGTGTTCATCTCCGTACACTCCACATTAGTAGAAAATAGTTTACGGACAGTAGTGAGCGGATTACGGCAGCTTCCAGGACTCCTCTGGTAACACGCTCTGCTTGCGAGCGGACGTTCCCAATTCCGGTACCCTTGGCTCATGAGTGCTTTCGTCTACTCATAGAGTGGTCCTCCCTGCTTTTCGAAGCCCTTGTATTAACATAGCTTAGTCCATACGTTTGAATGGTTTGCTGAAGTTCGCATGCACTATATGACCTGTTTGACGGTAGTCTCTGGTATCACAACATGCTTTGCGTACCGTAACAATTTTGTGATGCGAGGCCTGATGATGAGCCTGGCCGAGCGTTCCGCAAAGGAGTTATGGGTGTCGAAATTTTCTAAATTGTCCTTTCGAATGTTTTAAAGACCAGTGATTTCTTGCATGTGGGTCTGTGGCCATTCAGTATATTGTTTCTACTCCTCCGAAGTGGCCTACCACTTTCGTGTTCCAATCCCTTAGAATTTCCTCAGTTGAAAGTGCTCGGTGCAAGGGTGTCAGTGGTAATGTCAAAATGAACACCAGCTGTTCGAACGCCGACAAACTCCGCCGTGCTTATCTGGTTGATATGGTGATGTCCACCCTGGTCAGAAGTTTCGCCTCTGGCGTGGAGCTCTGTAAGGCCTGTGAAGATCCTCCTGCAATCATCTCTGCGTTTTTGAGCTCGTCGTGCATTCCATCGATTGTAGCACCATGTGGTTTCCTTGAAGGTGTTAGTGCGTCGTCTGTGACCATGGAGCCGCCGAATATAACGAATTCTGGAAACTGCCTCTTACGTCTCCTTTATCCATTTACTTGGTATCATACTTTTGGGTGTTTTTTGTGCCTCTTACCAGCGCCTCCTTGTAGTTTCGTTTGGTTACTGTAGGTATTTGCTTCTACATTCCCTAGTAGTTTAAACTGGTCATGGACATGTGGGTTTCCGATGTTTCGAAAGCGAGTTCAAGCATTGGCTCTGTATAATTCTGTTGTTCTTTCATAAAGCGTATCTTGCCGTTTCGATGCCGTTCTGTTCTAATGCATTTTGAGCCGCATATGGTCTGCGCTTCCGAGCTGCAGCCTCGGTGTCTAGCAACTTTTACTATCTGGCATTTTGTCTTCCAGAAGGCCATATACGGGTGTGCTTCGCGTCCTACGGCATATTCTGATGATCACCGTGTTATGACCACAAGGCCTCCTACCGCTAAGACTGCCACTGGTTGTGAAGACAGCTTGTGATAACCAGGTCTGTCGCCGAAGTACTCCCGCCTAGGTATTGGTGGCTCATATATCAGTCGCTCAAAAATGATCGTTTCCTGCGCTGTTACAGACCCGTGCCAGCTGTAGGTGGACTTCTACTTGGCGTGACTTTCATTGTCATGGGATTGTGTCAGTTGATATTACCGATCTGAAACCGTTGATCTGAGACATCAAATCCTTCACCTTACTTCTGTTCTTCATAAGGGGCTTGAACGCTCGCTGAATGTCTGCTGGAGTAGACTTTCACAACGTAACTAAAACTACACGGATTGATATCTAAAGCAAGCCCTTGATCAGCTGACTATGGATGCTGGGGTAACATACGCACTTTCATCGTGTTCACAGAATTTTTGGCAAGGAAAACTTCAAAGATGGGTCACGTGCCGCCGATGAGCCAGAGAGTGATGTCAAACTCAATTCAGTTCGGTTTTTGTGATTCAACCCCTGCAAAGCAGACGAAATATTGGTGCCTTGTTCATTCGATTGTCGCTTCCACGCGTCCATTCATGAGCTTGTTGCCGTGTTCACTCACTTGAATGAATAGACCGCTTATCTGCTGTTCGGTCCGAACAGCGAAGGCATTCACATTCTGCACTGTTTGTATACTTTACCCTTTAGCATGTGTGATATTTCCTCTCAAGGGGTTCATCGTACCCAAAAAAGACGGACGTCCTCCAAGAACCAATGAGTCAGTATTAAGGAATGCGTGAGATCCTATCCGATCTCTCATCACCACCCCCTAAATACATCTCAATTACCTTTTTTAATCGGTTCATATTTGCCAACCAACCCTGTTCGCAGACGGAACATCATTCCGCCACAGCGCATTGACTTCTGTTTTTCTTCAAAATCACTTAAGTTTACTTTGGCTCAGATTTATTTCAACTCTTACTTTCTCAGGCGGTTTTCGATTTCCTTCAAGTATCCGGATTCACATCAGCTGTCGATCCCACACAATGGGAAGCGCTGTCGCACGGTCATTTTCCGAAGTAAGTCAGGATGAGCTCTGTGGACTTTAAGGCTGTTTGAGGTGTGTGCCAGCTGATGTTTACTGACTGGTGTCTACTGGTGATCAGAATCAACATTTACTGTCTGCCCTACGCTCATTGCTTAGTTGCCTCAACGTTGTAATCGAATTTCCGAAGGACTCGGAAGTTGAAATTCCTCCTTCATTGTTCGGTTTCCATGTCCTGGTCGGATTAGGTGGTCAATTTTGTCAGTCGAACCTTCAGTGCAGCTCACTCCTTTTGCCTACGCTGGAATGCATCAGCCAAAAACGAAAAAAGTGGCAATAATCTATTGTGAGACTTCCATCATTCACTGGTATTTTAGATGTCGGAAGCATCCGCTTCACACATTGTGTAGTTTAATTCACATATATATATATATATATATATATATATATATATATCACAA